GAGACGGAAGATCGGGAGAGGAGGATTATTGAGGATGGATGGATGATGAGGAGAAGGGGGGGAAGAGATGAGGAGAGAGCGAACGAGTTCTACCCAGCGGTAATTAAGAGGGAGAGAGAGAGGGAGAGAGGGAGAGGGAGAGGCTGCCTGGAGGTCAGCTGCTGCTTCACTGCTGCATCCGGCCGAGGCGGTGAAGGTCCGCGGCCATTGGCGGATGCTAACAGCTTTGGTAACTTGCTCCGGACTAGCAAGTTAGTTCGTTAGCAGTAAAACAACTCCCAAACTACGGAATACTTTTCATAGTCAACTGCGTTTAGTTACTTGCCCGGTACCTTGTCCGGCCCGTCGGTCGCGATGCTTCTTCCCCGTACTCTCATGTAGATGCAACTTTTAGTCTTACTTAGTCCTCCTTCTCTTGCATCCTCGGTGGAGTCTTCCTGCTGCAGAATGAGGCATTGCTCTGTTGGCTACGTAGGTGCCTAAACCCTTCCCTTCCTTCCCATCCTTCCTTTTCCCTTCCCACCTCGTCACCAACCCTCCTAAAGCTCAGGCGCCATGATTTCATCACGACATGGATGTTCCCCTCATGCCACCGACCAACAATCCTTTCCCCCACAGCCTCAGATGCTGCTTGCTGATCAGGGTGCTTACGCCTGGGCCGTTAATCCATCCATCCATTCACACCTTCCCTTCCCCCCAAGATTTACTTCTGCTATCTTTCCCTACGAGATGATCGGCTATTACGGCTTCTTTTCCAGGCCTCCTAGCTTTTTTTGTAGCCCGAGGGAATTGACGCTCCTTGACGTGCTGCCTGACGTCACGTCACACCTTCGAAACCGTCCAGGCCCATCCCCGGCCCCCTTCGCTTCCCAACCCGAGGTCTGGTCTAGTCTATCTATCTACTTTTTGGTTTGACCGGTACGGACAACACAGCTCTTCAACTGCAAACTATTTTTGGGATCGTATTTTTTATTGCTTTTGTAGACAAGAGGACGCCACCCCACAACTCGGCCTCCTCATCCGTGTCAATCAACTAATCTCAAAACGAGCGCAGTGAAACACACGCACACGCACACACATACACACACGCAGGGCTCATCACAGACAGGGGGGAAGCGGGGAGGAGGAAGAGGAGGCACACCGCATTACGTTCATGGAAACCAGGATGCAAAACAAGCGTGGTCAGAGACATCATACGGGTATTCGCGTGGACAGCCCACCGGAAGAGCGACCCTGGCGCCGCCGACAGGGTGCGTAGGAACATCACCGCACCCTTGGTCCCGGTTCTTTCCCCTCCCGGCTCTGAGCCCACTGCCTTTCAACGTCATGAGTATATCGAAGAAGATGGTATCCGTACATCGCGGAAGACTTCGGCAGGCATAAGCTAAACGGCACAGCAGGGAAGCGACGGCAGCCAAGCAAACTAAGGAAAAAGAAAGCATGAAAAAGCGGAAACACAAGAAACAAGAAAAAAAAAGGAAACATGTAACGGAAAATGTAGGCAGAAAATAAAAAAAAAAGTGATGAGAAGAAACAGGGGTAAAAATAGAACAGCACAGCAAGACGATCGCTAGTAATGCATGGAATCCTTATCTAACCACAATCAGAGACGGAACTAGGAGAGCACGATGCTCCGACCACACTAGACCTCGACAAGAAAAGGAAAGGCACAGGCTATGAGGCAATGGGAGGTCGTCATATTGGGATCAACAACAGATTTGCCGCTTTTCCATGAGGCAAACAAGAAAAAGAAAAGAAAAAAGTCAATGATCAAGGTGAACACGAAGCGAAGGCGGATAATTGAAGGACAACAATAATGAGTATGAAACTGAAACAAAGGCGGACTAAAGGGGAAAGATAAGGCGAAGACCAAGGCGGAAGGGGGAAAAGTAAACATCGCATCAAAAAATAAACACAGAAAGAAATTGAATTTTTAGAACCGAACACAAAGGCAGGGAGAAGACATTCCTTGAGGCCGGGCATCACCCACAAGCCTCGATTCATTGAGAGCCGTAGTAAACACTGCCTTGAGATTGGGGATAGTAGTACGTTGTACCAGGGGGCGTCATCATGCCGCCCATGCCCATGACACCGCCGGCGCCGGGCGCATTCGACATTCCATAGGAGGAATTTGGATACATTTGGTTAGCATCGTAGAAATATACCGTACCACCTGCTTCGTGTGCGACCGTGCCCGGTTGAGCCGGTTGCTCGCCCGACGTGTGCGCACCGGGCACCATATACGGCACCTGTTGCCCCGGAGGGAAGGGAGGCACAGAGGTGCCGGGCCCTACTGCGGCATTGTACGGGGGGAATTCGGTCCCGGTAACAGAATAGTAAACGGCGCCAGGTGGGTAAGAACTGGGATAGAATGCTTGTGGCTGTTGGAAACCATATGGCTGGAAGGGTTGGGCATGGATTGCACGCTCGGGTATATGGGATAAGGGTGTCACCGACGAGTGAGCCGAAGCAGCATAGCCGGGCGCATCTGAGCTATAGACGGGCCCGTTTCCAGGCATCGGGACCTGATGATGGAATGGCTGCTCCTGCTGCGGCTGAGGAGGATTGTATGGAAAGCTTGCTGGCGTCTCAATGTCGGCAACAGAGACGGCCTTCTGGGGACGAGGTTGGTGCATCGGTATGGGCGCCGGACGGCTCTCCCGGAACACTGGAGGTTGAGGCTGTGGTTGTAGAGGAGGAACTGCTGTAGGAGGGCCGGGTGGCGGGGGTGGTAGTCCGGCTGGTGGTCTTGGAGGTGGAGGTAAACGGACAACGGGCTTACCGTTGTCTGTGGCCACGATCGTCTGCCTGGAGAGAACCGAGGCTGCCGGCGAGTGGTATCCTTCTTGCGAGGGCGCCTTGCCGAAGGACGACCTCCTACTGATGCTAACGCTTGGAGTGTATGTGGAACCTGCATAGATACTAGGCCGTCGTCCTGGAAAGAATCCGCTTCGACGCCCACGGAAGGCCTGTTGATTGGGCCGGAGCGCCCGCGGGATGAAGATGAAAGATCGCTCTGTTGCGGGGAAGATATAACGCGCAGGCTGCCCGGGAAGCGAGATTCGGACAGGTTTATCGCGGCGTAGAGGAGGACGGTGCTGTGGTAAACGGGTGTGTTGCTTCTTTGGAACATTAGGGTATAAGATGGGTTGAGCCATGCCCGGTAAGTAGACCACGACAGGCACGTTCCCTATCATTGTAGTACTCGAGAATGACCTATTGGGCGGGGACGATCGAGGAGCTGTAGGAACTGGCTTGGGGGGATAAGTTGGGAGAGTCGCAGGCGCCGCAGGCACTTTCGAGACGGGTGCATCATCTCCAGCAACAGTATCATGCAGATCGTGCGTCCACTTGTTTTCGCTGGCATCTGATTTGACCTGGTTCCTGCAAGCAGTTAGCATGAATGTTCTGTCTGCCTCAAAAGTGAAAGAGCTAGAAGTTAGGCTCAAGCGTACTTGCGCACATTGCCGTCCACGATGAGACCGTATGGTCTCGACTTGGACTTAGCAAATGATTTGTGGCCGTTGGCTGCAGTATCGGTCGAGCGTTTGTCGTGAAGGAAGAAGCTTCCTCGGGTGGGCACGAATGCTGGGTTCTCCTCCTTTTCCTTTGTATACTTCTCATTATCACGACGCCTCCTGTCCGTCAGGCTGTCTTGTTTTGGCTCTGCCGGAGGCGCCGACGGAGTCCTCCCAGTTTGTTGGCCAAGCTCTCCCTTCAGGTCGTCAAAGTGGATTTCGGCCACCCCAGTTGTCTTGTCCGACAGTCTCATTCCATTCATCATCGCTTCAGTATCTGACATGACCGTTCCCGTGTGGCGTTTCCCGGGCGAAGTTGAATGGCGGCGCCCGAGCTTCTGGCTTCCGGCAGGCATACGGCCGTTGAGCTGGGGAGGGTGAGTATTGCCCGCATCCCGGGTCACAGACGCCTCATCATCACTCTCATCGCTGCCCTCGCCATCGGCATCCTCCTCATCGAGATGACTGATAATGGATCCTTCGCTTAGGGAGTCGTCCTCCAGTTCTCCATCTAGTGAGCCCTCATCTTCGCCCTCTTCGTCTCTCCTTCGGCGGCGACTAGCACCGATGTTGTGTCGGCGTGGAGCCATGGTAAAAGGAGGGAAAATAGAAAGCAAAAAATCACGGTAAAGGTTGGATTCGAGGTATGCTGGGGTGAATCGTGGTGGTGGGAAAGGGCGTCAAAGTGCATCGACCAACAGCGGCGAGAGCGGCGGGTTGCAAGACAGAGAGGATGGGTAGAGAAGTAAGGTAGCTAGCTAGTAGGTCTAGATAGGAAGAAGCCCGCGAGCAACACGTTCCCGGAGAACCAAATAGACAAAGGTAGAAGAATAAAAGAAATCACGAAAGCTAGAGCAAGAGGGTGCACCTCAGGAGTGAGGGCAGGGAGTGTTGAACGGATGGACGAACTGGGGAGATTTGGTGGTTTTGAGCATGAGCCATGACATGCTCTTTCGATGTCAACCGCCTCAATCCGGTTAGCGCCCTCCCCAAACCACTTCAGGGATTCTAGAACTGCGGTTTATCTACTTTTAGTTGTTTAACGCCAGCTGATCGTCCATCAGAGCTCCCCCCCCTCCAATTTGCTTTTGAGAACTCCATATGACACTGCATTTTCTGCAAACATGGTTCCCCTCTTACACTATACTTTTCAACCAAACAAACTCCCGGTTCCCAGTCAAGGTCTAGGCATGTCGACATCCTGAGCATTACTACTATTGACGCCCGTTAACTCTGTCCGTCCACTCACATTGCCTGGTTCTGTTTACCCTGACTAAGCCCGCCTGGCAAGCATCGGCCTTAGTGTATCTGTACCCAGTCAGGCGCAATACGAAGGGGCATGGTTCATGTACCAGTACACCAGAGGGTTCTGCTGGCAGTACTAGTAGTGCTACTAGCTGATCGGTTTATGCTACGTCTCAGACTTCCATGTGATACGCGGTGCCAGGACTTACAATGCGAACTGGAGGAAATGGCTAATCAGTCCATTGGTTACTATAATGCTTCATGGCTTACATACATTGTATACAAAAAGTCTCGGCTGGGTATCAAGGTACTGAGGACTTGAATCCTCAATGCTTCTATAGCGCCGTCCACGGCCGTCTTGATCCTCGACCGACGGGGCATGAAGTCCATGCAAGGATGGAACAACTCATGTCACAACTCACTATGACAACGATCTCACATCGACCAGATTACAGAGCCGGGCATTGCAAGGCTCCGTCTTCTCACCAGCAAGGAGATCTGGTTTGGTTCTTCATGGGCGATGGCTTCGTGTATTTTCTTCCAAAATGCGCACACGTTGTTCAAGGCGCGCGAACCATCCTTAATCAAAGGTGATCTTCTTTCCTTGACCTTCAACAATGGCTCCACTGAGCTTCTGGACAGTATCTTGATCGTATCTGGTATACTCCGGCTTTCCTTGCCTAGCCTTGCCCGGTCGCGACTGGCGAGGCTGCTCACCCGTCGAATCGTGCTCTGCAGGCCCAACCTCGCTGATGTCTGCGGTATCGTTCTTCTTGCCTTCGCCGTCCTTACCGAATCGCTTCTTATAGCGCGTCGTGGCATCTTCGGCAAATTCCATGCGCATCCGCCTACCGAGCAGGTTGTTCACCCACACTCTCTTCTGTCGCGGTTTCTTAGACTTTTTGCGGCTTTCGGCGTCAGACTCTTCTTCCTCTTCATCATCCTCTTTGACCAGCACGTAGCCCTTCACCGCTGCTTCGGCTGCTGCAAGATCCTCAAACACTACCCAAGCATAACCCTTGCATTTGCCGGAGTCTTGGAATGTGGCCACATGTACGTTTGCGATAGTCCCGCATTGGGAAAAGTGTTCTTCGATGAGTTCCTTCGTAGCGTCGAAGCCGAGGTTGCCGACAAATATCCGCTTTGACGGGGGATTTCCAGATGCTGCACCCGAACTTGCGTTCTGACCCTCTCCTTGAGGCTTCTCTGGCCTTCCGGAGAAATTCTTTGCATCTTTGATGAGCACGCGACGTCCGGAGAGAAGCTGTTCACTGAGGCCCATTGCCTCCTGGGAGGCCTTCTGCGTGGAGAAATCGACGTAAGCGAAACCTTTGTTCTGGGCTTTTCCATGCTTATCACCAGACTTGGGCATGTGAATTCTCGTGATGGTCGTATCTGCAAAGGAGCAGTTGGTCGTAAAGAACTTGCGCACGTCATCTTTCGTCGCGAAAAATGGCAGGTTTCCGATCCAGATGCCATACTCGGAGCGCTTCTGAGTGGCAGCGCTGTCATTGTCTGCAGGAGCCCCCTCTGTTTTCTTCTCCGTAGTGGTATCCGTGGGGCCTTCTGCGGCCTTCTTCTTCAGCTTTCGCAGAGCCTTCTTTGAGGGAGGTTCCGGTGCAGAAACATCGATCTCGATCTCGGAGACCTCTGGGAGCTTGCGCTTCTTGTGATTTTCCTCGCCTATGCCAGCCATGGTGTAGTGAGTGAAGTAATATGAAATAGATAATATACTTCACAGAAATAGGTTGAACAAAGCCAATGGGAGGGGAAAAGAACCTTCACTTGAAGAAGTCACAGCGGCAATCACTGATAGCGGAGGGAAACTTTTTTTTTTACGGCAGGCAGAAACTCTCCGCCTCAACACCAGATCCTCCAGATCGGCGGACCGCTTAAACGTGACCGGCCCAAACACGGCCATCTCGAGCCTCATTCAGCCTTCGCTCCTGTCCGCCCCTTTCACCCGCCCACGACTCTGCAACTTGAGGCACCATCCAGGTTTCTCGTTGTTGCTTTGCTCATTTGTCATCATGTCGCATACCATTGATGATGCCCAATCCGTGACTGAAAGTCTACCGGATGCTCCCGGGGGCGCCCCTACCAAACAGTCGTACCGATCATTCAAGTGAGTGTGGTCCCCTGAATGCCTGGGGCGGCGCGTTGCTAATTCGACCGATCTACTATTTAGGAAGAAGTTCGCGAAGCTCAAGGTTAAGTTTGAGCTGCAGATGCGAGAGAGCGAGTCTCTCATCCGTGAAGGGTTGCGTATCGAGGATCTGTCCAAGAGGATTCAGGCACAGAATGAGTATGTTGCGCGCCTACGTCTATAGCTTGTCGGTCGCTTACAGTTGATCAACCTGCAGTCAGCTCCTAGAAGTTCTCCTGGAATTCAACGACAGTCTCCATGTGTCCCCAAGTGTGCGGTACGATCTGAGCGCGCCGGAAGATGCATCCTTCTTACCACCACCCGAGCGAGACATTCCGAAATCGTACAATGACCCTGCCGTAGCGAGCTCTGTCTTACAAGAAGCCAAGGCTAGACTGGCTGCTGGACGTTTGTCCAGCGATGCTTATCGTGAGGTGGAGGAGGATGTCAAGCGCGGACAGGCTTTTGCACCGCGTATGCAGTACAGCACTCTGTCGACATTCCCCCATTCCGCGCCCTTGCAGCCAGAGAACCCCGACGACTGGAATCCCGCGCAAGAACTTGGGTTTCTGACTCCCGAATACGAGACCGAATATTGCCTGGCTCTGGATGCTAAACTGGGCGACGACGAGGCCCTGGAGCAGCTTGAGGTTGTTCCCAAAAAGCCATCACTAGCGGAACGCGAGAGAGAGGCTGCTCTTCGGAGCCACGTCTCTGTACACAATTGGTTACGCCAGAATCAGCCCCAAATATTTCTTCAGGACAACGAAAACGCCTCGGAAAAGTCCGGCTCTCGACCCTCCAATCTACGCACTTCCAAGAGGGCTCCGGCCCAATCACGCAAAGAGGAGGATGTGTATGATGATGACAGTATCCTGGAAACTGCGTCCACCTCTGGAGGTACGAGAGGCAAACGCAAGCGCGATGAAGATAGCGGTTATCGGCCCAAGGGTGGTAGCAGTCGCTCAAACCGGAAGAAGAAGGATGATGAGAATGCCACCCCCAAACGCCCTTCGAAGCGATCTTCAGGCGTAGGTGCCTGAGACTGCCGATCGACAAACTCGGATCTTTTCCTTTTGTATCAATACATACTTTCCTTTCACCCGTCTTCTTTGCCAATCATGTTTGCAAGTCCCATCGAAATCACGGCAGATAGTGATCCATTTCCAATATTGGGAGCGGACAAGCCTGCTACACGTTATCGGTGTTACCAAGGGGCCATCCCCAGTTTACAACCATGAATTTTCTATATCCGCGTATTCATCTGATCCATTGCTGTACTATGTGTTGGAGCGGCGGCTTCACTACTTACTTCCCCACGCTGCTATTATGATGTGATATACCTCAACAATAATTACGGAAACCTTATAACTAGATGTCGTAAATCCGATGTGAAAGCAGTCGTGTAAAACCCGATATATATTCAAACAAATTAGACTAGTAGGGATAAAACAATGCTAGTGTTGCCATTCTCCCGGATTGGGAATGCGGCTTCACGTGCGGCTCCACCAGCGGTTTGCCTGGTTTGCTTGGCATGCCGAAAGTCTTGTCCGACTGCAGCTCCAATACTCCGATTTTCACAAACGCCCTCTATCAGAACGCAATAGAATCGCCTGTTCGGCCATTGGTATAACTCGGAGCGGCAAACAGATCTCTACACTATGGCCATTACTATTCTCCCTCCGGTTGTGGAGGATGTCGACGTTCCGTACTCCGACTCGGAGGACGACGCCATGTCCGTGGATTCAGATGGAGGAGTCGATCTAGCAGCGGGAGATGCCACAAGACCTAGCAAGCGGGTTCGCTTAGTGGAGGGAACGAATATTGGCGCTGGAGTTCTCACACCGGGTGAGATCGTAACAGACGACCCGCAATGGATGAGGTTGGTTTTGCCCAATTGCTATATCAGCTCAAGGCGCAATTGATTGACACTTGACTGCAGAGGACACGGCACATACACTAACCCGCTATCCACCTCCATCATTGCCACCGTCGCCGGTACGGTTCAGAAGACCAACAAACTGCTCTCCGTCCAGCCCCTACGCGCCCGCTATACGCCTGAGATCGGTGACCTGGTGGTGGGGCGCATTGTCGAGGTGCAGTCTCGCCGATGGAAGGTTGATGTCGCTGCTCCCCTTCTCGCACAGCTTCCTCTCTCCGCTATCAACTTGCCTGGTGGTATCTTGCGTCGACGAACGAGCGCCGATGAATTACAAATCCGAACCTTCTTCAGCGAGGGTGACCTCGTCGTTGCTGAAGTCCAGTCGGTACATTCGGACGGAGGCGCCTCGCTGCACACCCGGTCGTTGAAGTATGGTAAATTGAGGAACGGCGTGTTTCTTGCGGTGACGGGGACGGGTGGCAGTGGTGCGTCCAGCTCGTCGGTCAAAGGTACTTCAGGGGCGAGTGCTACGGGAGCGGGAGCCGGAGGTGCAGCGGGTGCTGGTGGAGTGGTTCGGTCGCGCAGACAGGTCTGGACGATCAATACAGCCAATGGAGGTGGGGATGTGGATGTGATTTTGGGAGTCAATGGATACATTTGGATTTCTAAGCACGCCGACGGAGCGGCTGCTGCATCGTCGACAACGGAGAATGTGTCAATCACACGCATGGAGGAGATGGTGTCGAGTTCCATCTACTCGAGTCAGAACGATGACATCCCGCCACAGACGCGTCGGGAGATTGCCCGGTTGGCGCAGTGCATTCGGGTGCTTGTCAACGGAGGAGTCCGGGTGGACGAGGAGACGGTGATGGGAGCCTACGAAGCCAGCTTACAGGTGGATCTGGAGGTGGGAGATGAGGAAGATGAGGAAGATCGGGGCAAGGAGGGCAGAGAATATCTGGAGGGCGACAAGGCTCGTCGGATTCTGGATTTGGTGCTACAACAACTATAGGGTTGTATATGGCTTTTCGAACCTTTCGATAGTAGTTCTCGTGAGAATAGATACCCCGACAAATGGACTAACATTACTGCCTCAATAATGGGTGTGTGTAGTAGAGTTTCACCGAGACTAACTGATTACCATCCTCTTCTGTCTATTCTTTCATCTTGTGATGCCTTCAACTTTTGCCTTTTTGGGGCTGATAAGCAAAGACCCCGCATCACGTGGCGATAACAGGGCTGATTATTGGTAGATCCAAAGAGAGTTAAGATAAAAAGAAGGGATTCACGCAAGAATGCAAGTAAAGGAGATCAGAAGATAAGAAATCAAAAGTAACCAAGCAGAAGCAAGAGTAACACCAAACAATTCAGGGATCCGAGCGAGGGTGGCGTTGATCAGGAGGGGGCGTGACCAGTTGGCTGCCGCACAATTATTATTATTATTATTATTCTTTCTGGTGTTATTCTTATTCTGGATTCCTTCACTCATTCTTTCTCTCTTCTTACCTTCTTCACTTCCATCTCTTCATCCACCCATTGGGGATTTTCCATCCAACACTCTTGCTTTCTTCCAGCCTTACCATGTCCTTCGTCTCAGAATCACTCTTTCTACTGTCTACCATTACCTTTACCATACCCTCAGTATAGCCGACCGGGTTCTGCCGGCCACACTTGGTGTTGCCTTGTTCCTAGTAGTACAAGTTCATACTTGTTTCTACATTCCGGTCTCCCCTTTGGCTTATTCATAGCAAAAACAATTCTCGGATACATTATCCCGCATTTTCCCCCGTGAAAATTCTTCTTGCATTTAGCAATCTTCTCTCTGCAATCACTACCCAGCTGGTCGACATTGCGCGCATCCATCATGCCGGACCTGCGTCGTCAAGTGTTGGAGAGTGGCAAAACCATCTCTCGTAAAGCTGCTTCCCGCGAAGGCTCTCGACGAACTTCGCGCGCCAACTCTGCCCAGAATTCCCGCCAGTCCTCTCAGAATCAGAGCCGATATGGATCGGACGAGGAAGATCTTGACAGTCTCAGTGATGATACGGCCATGAGGTGAGCACTCCATAATCACAGCTTTCCCTTCCCTTTAATTTTATTTTTTTGGTTTCCCCCCCAAACGGAATGATGTCATCGTCGTCCATCCCCTCTTGTGTGCTCCGTTACTAATGCGTGTTTTACGACCCAGCATTGGCTCGTTGGACGATCTAACCGACAACCCCGATCTGGACAACCATGATTGGGTTGAGGAGCTTAGGGATGTCATCCAGGATATTCTGGACCGCAAGCGTAGTAGTAATCTGAGTCGCGAAGAGGCCTATGCTGCATTTTGCCGACTGGCGAAGTATCACTATGTCGAGGAACAAATTCGCGGTCGCGTCCTCGACTTGGTAGCGGCATTCAACCGCAGTATCAAGTTCGAGACCAGTGTGCGCGAAACGACGCTGGCGCTTCGTGCCGTTGAGCTCCTCGCCATTTCAGCCTACGATAACACGATCTACGAGCATGTCGAGCCCTTGCTGACTCGTACTGTACGAGATTCAACCTCCAACACGGTCAAGGCAGCGGCGATTCACTGTCTGGGCATCTGCACCATCCATGCAGGCGCTAGCGAAGATGGGATCCTCGACCAAATGACGTTCTTCTTGGATATCGCTGCCTCCGACGGGCAGTCGATCGGTGCCGGGGACGACGCAGCCAGCGTTGTTGCTGCCCTGCAAGAATGGGGCGTGCTCGCGACCTATATTGACGATCTTGAAGGCGAAAGCGAGGACGCCGTG